GGCGCCAGTCAACAGTAACGCGATTTGTTGGTTACGCCAAGCACACACACACACACGTACGCGCGCGCAGTTTAATTGTTATAAATATATATTTATGCATATATATGTAGAGTAAGCGTCGATCGAGTATTTGTGTAATGGATAAACGTTAATTGAATATTTACACTTTGCTTTTTTTTTTTTTTTGACACCGGAAATACACACTCGCACACATATTTCAGATAGACGCACACACGTGTGCGCATTAGGCGCGCAGCGGCTGGCAGTGCTGCTAACCGTCTTGATCAAGCACCAAATAAGAATTGAGAAACGCGATAAAAAACTGAGAAACAGTCGGGCGGAAATTCAAAATCTTTTTGAAATGAGCTAACAGCGAGGTAGGCACAGCTGAATGTTAATGTTAACATACACAAGTGTTCGACATCCAACCGTTTGCGACTCAACATCGAACCAGCTGAACAAACTCATTTGTTTGACAAGAATGTTATTGCTCCAGCTGTTATTCAGCTGGAACTTGATGTTATAATTTAAAAGGAAACAGAGCAGCAGAATAAATACTATTTTAATTACTTGTTATAAGTGGGAAACTGAAATAGCAGAGAAATATAATGCTAACTCACAATGGCACTGCTCTGAGAGCAGCCAACAAGTTGCATCGACCCAGGCGCAACATCGAACCTGTGCTTGGCGTGTTTGACAACGCTTATGTTAACTGGCTGCCTGGCGTTAAGTTTGAGGTTTAAGGATGCCGAAATGTTCAATTTAATGATTAACAAAATATAAAATTTCTTTTGTTTTTGGTGCATACTGTATGTATGTGCTTAGAAAATATTTTATCTTTTTATATATGTATATCATTTGAAAAATCATATACTGGACTTTTTAAAATGGAATATGTATATTCCAAGAAATTTGTCTTGATTTTGGCGGGATTTTTTCTTTTCTCTGGAAAATACTTGAATTTAAATATTTAAGTCTAACTGAAATCTATTACTGTCTAGACCTAGGGATTACCTGCCTTATCACGGGGCCCGTCATATGAAAGTTAGTTTAATTATTAGACCATGATTTGACGTTTATTTCCATCAATATGCTGGCAGCTTTTCGATTTGAGTAGAATTCATAATAATTAACATTGTTATAAATGTGCTTAAATGCTTTTAATTATTTAGTTTTTTTGGTGACACTCAACTGTGACAGCCGAATGCCGCTAAAGCTGCAATCGAGCACGTGTCAAGGGTCAAAGTCCGAATTATATATTTAAATAATTTGCGTCGATTTCCGATTTTTTTTTATTCTTAATTTTAATAAATGTGTGAAACACGCTTGGCCACCGTGCAAAGGTGTGAAAATCCTGAACACACACACGCACACACACATTCTCGCACACAGAGACTGAAAATGCGATTCAATTTAAAGTGGGATGCATTTAACTGTATTTGTTTTGGGATTTGATTTCGTTTGCAAGCACTCTTCGATTAATTCAATTTACGCACTTGATGTCAGTTGATGATTTTCGTATGAGTTTTTTTAGTATTTACTTTTATTTTATTTTATATTTTAATTGCCTTTTCCTGCTGAGTTGCCTGTTTTAGTATTTTATTATAATTCATTTGAAACTATTTCTCTTGATTGTCGGATTTACCCACCCGGGTGGCAACATATAATTGAAGTTTATTTTATTTTATATATACCAGTGTATATATATTTTTTTTATTTGATTTTTTACGCCTCGAGAGAAGAGCGAGCAGACGTCCAACAGGGCACGCGGCACACGATCAACTGTAACGGTAAAAACGAAACAAGTTTGATATAAAGTATAAAAGTTAAGTTCCAAATATAACAACAGACATGTCGTCTATGTTAAGCTTAACATTAACATGTTGTAGAGTCAAGCGTGAGCAGTTGCTGTTATTCAATTATTCGCGGAATCGTGCTCTCTTGGCTCTACAAACGCGAGCAAGAGAGAGCACCTATTCCTTCTCCCTCTGTCCGCCTCTCACTAAATACGCTGTGCGTTTTATTTGTTGTCGCATTTCTATTAGTTTGACATTTGTTTTTACTACAGCCATCTCGTTTCGTCGCACACACTGCGGCCGGCCTGGGGCGTGCTGTAGTCATCCTGCTCACAGCACACATGTTGCGACCGCATGGTTTCTGCTTTACGTTCGATCGTTCTTCTTGCTGTGCCTCGACTTGAGCATGTTAGAGCTTGTACATGTATGCGGGACAGCACTGCGTGGCTGGCTCTGTAAATGTTTGGAAACAACAAATACACGCTGCATCGGCATAAGTCCAAATGTAGGCATTATTCTAAGCCGGTCTTCGGTGCTGAGCGAGGTGCTGTTATCATGCACTAACTAGTAACTCTTGCCATCCAACCAATTTTCGACATGTTCACTCAATTAATGAGAGCAGTACCCTACCCTGCCCAACCAGCCCATCCATCCATCTATCCATCCATAATCACACACGCCGCTAACTAATTCAGGTTTGATTTGGAGCGTTGTTTGGTGGGAAATGCGCAGACAGCGAGCAGCGGTCGCAAATTGTCTTCCTCACCTAACTGGACAATATTTAAAGACCCTAATTGATATAGTTTTGGACAGCTTGAGAAATGATTTGTGCTACATACATACATACACACAAGCCACCAGACACATGTTTGTCCAAGCAATACGTAATGTATGCATACCCACACATACACACATTTTTGGGCATATGTGTGAGCATGCATTTGTATTAGGTTTGCCAAATACCTCATTCGGCATATTTTTTGCTTTAAGCATAAGCGCAAATACATGCGTGATATGTGTATATACCTATGTATGTGTGAGTGTGTGTGTATGAAGAAGAGTGGTAGGCTCTCACACTGTCATCGTCAACCGAAACTCACAAATTGTTGGGTTTGAGCAGCAGCGTGTTGTTGCTTTAGCCGCTGCCGTTGCCGTTGCTGCCGCTGCCTTTTAGTTTCATGAGCAGGAGATCATTGTCAGGTCCGGTTCTCAAAGTTCTTTTCATTTTTTTTTTTTCGTCTTTTTCGTCTTATAGCACATACACACACTTCACACACTGCGTACCTACTATGCGTAAAAGTCTCCTGTAGTTTTTTAATTTCCATTTTTTTTTCGCTTGCCTCATTTCGTGGCCCCTTCCCAACGAAAGCCTTTTGCCCATTCCAGCCGGACCTGCCTCTACGTCTGTGCGTCTCATCTCATTCACTGCCCTCGGCTCGCTCACTCTCCCTCTTTCTCGCCCTTTCTCTCCGTCTCGTTCTTTTGTGAATTGCTCATGAGAATTCACCCTGTGGCAACTAATTAAAAACGGAGCATTTCCAAGGAGGGATGCGCGAGGAGCTCTAAAATGTTCGCAAAATATCATTCCTGATCCTTACGAGCAACAATTTGTTCTTCATTTCAGCTTTTCCATTTGAATTGGTTCTGATCAAAGAAAATATAAACCTTAAAAACAAGTATATAAAACAGAAAATAAAAAGCTGAAAATAAAATAAAATAAAATAAAAATAAATAACATATATTTATATCAAGTCAATTCATATTTTGAATTAAAAATTAAAAACTAATATAATTAATCAATAATCAGTAAGCAAGTTATAAATCCCAGAAACGGAGCATTTCCAAGGAGGGATGCGCGAGGAGCTCTAAAATGTTCGCAAAATATCATTCCTGATCCTTACGAGCAACAATTTGTTCTTCATTTCAGCTTTTCCATTTGAATTGGTTCTGATCAAAGAAAATATAAACCTTAAAAACAAGTATATAAAACAGAAAATAAAAAGCTGAAAATAAAATAAAATAAAATAAAAATAAATAACATATATTTATATCAAGTCAATTCATATTTTGAATTAAAAATTAAAAACTAATATAATTAATCAATAATCAGTAAGCAAGTTATAAATCCCAGAAGCTTAGCTATGTAGATTCATTGGTACATAAGATTCGCTGTGGATAGAGTAAAATAATTATATGATTTATATATGGGAGGGCCTGACTAGTAGACACCCTGAACACACACACACACACACATACACACGCATAAGATTATGCAGTGCATTGTAAGCATTAACTATGATACGATGAATTACGACTGCTATACAATAACTTTTCATTCATGATAAATATGATTTATATTTTCTATTATACTCTCAGCCCATTCTAAATGGAAAGGGAATGTGTTTTTCAAATTGTAGATAACAGGCAGAAGGAGAGAGGTGTGGCAGATACCACAAAATGTATAGTATATTCTGAAATACTAATCTAGCCCAGTTTGTCTTCCTGTATTAGATGAAGATCTAGTCTTGGTGTTTGTTTCACATATATCTTTTAGCTGGGCATGTCCGATTATAGCAAGGTTTCTTATTTTGTGTCTTTGTCAAAAATTGAATTTCTATGTTTATAAACTGAAAACAAATTTTATATTAATTACATATCAGAATTAGTTGATATAACAGCCTAGTTTCTGCTGAATAACTATACGGAGGTACGTTGCAGTAATATTTTGTAAGAATCTCTCTAACAGGTGCAAAAACACCTCTTTACACAAGTGGACGGTTTTGGCGTCTAAATTGCATATAAAAGGCATTCCTATGAGTGCTACTAATTCAGTTAGAGTTGGGCAAGTGAGAGTACATCATGAAGCTGAGCCTGAACGTGTTGATCCTGTTGAGCCTGGCATTGTACGCCAATGCATTGGTCTATTACACCAAAATGGACAAGGGAGGTAAGAGATTATAGGGCTACCAATTCAAGCAAGGCGTCAATAAAAGCTAACGTGTCTTAGCCAATGGATGCAAGCCCAAGCCCCCAGCAGCCAAACAGGATAAGCCAGGCAATCCAGCGCCAAATACAAGAAACGACGCAGCAAAGCCAGACCCAGATGCGGCAGGAGGAGGAGGAGGAGGAGGAGGAGGTGGAGGAGGAGGAGGAGGAGGAGGAGGAGGAGGAGGAGGAGGAGGGGGAGGAGGAGGAGAAGGAGGAGGAGGAGGAGGAGGAGGAGGAGGAGGAGGGAGGAGGAGGAGAAATAAAAGTGGGTGAATTTGCGAAAGATGAAAATACGTGCGGAGTGAATGTGTGCCAGAATACCGAGGGTGACGCTATAGTACTTTAGTAAGTTTCTCTCAAATTAGCTTTTCAAATCCCATCCAAATCGAATCCTCAAATCCAAATCTTATACAAAACAGCTGCCAGAAACCGGCCCCGTTCGAAATGTGTAATACCGATGGAGTGTCCACAAAAGCACCGTTTCCGGAGTGCTGCTGGAAGTGCGTGGCTTATACTAATTGCGAAGAAACAGGCGGTGCTGCTGGTAATGGTAATGCTCCTGCTCCCAATGATAAGCCTCCTGCTGCTCCTGGTGATGCTCCTGCTCCTCCTGCTGATCCTCCTGCTGCTCCTGATGCTGCATCGAGGACCATGCCGAAAAAGGGGACAAAAAATCGGAAAGCAATAGATTTCAAAAAATATTAAAATTGAAAGGAAAACGGAGACACAATTATTTTGTTTTCACGTTTTAGTAAAACAATTTTAATAATATTTAATTAAAAACTTACAATTCGCTCAAATTTATGCAATGAACTCCGAAAATTATAGATAAAACAAAAATATGTTGTATATTAGCTTCGTAGAATATATATTTGATATGTTCAAAAAAAAATAATTTATTAAATTATTGATCTTGGCTTAAAGCTTTTGAATTTGATTTGTATTATACCTAACTATTTTAATTATGATTTATCTATATAGTTTTGGATCTATATTATGATTGATATATTTGACTATATTTTTCATGTTCTACATAATATTGGATCTGTATTTTGATTGATATTATAATTTTGTTGTTATTATTTATAATTTATCTATTTTATTTTTGATCTATATCATTATATATATATATATATTATCCATTGATCGATAGTATGATTGATTTATATTACTATTATTATTGATCTTTATGATTTATCTATTCACCGATTGATGTATGTATATTATGATTGATTTATGCATTAATAAATAGTTATGTAGTCTCAAGCTTCGATTTTAGACTGCATAATACTTAATACCAAGTATAAGAGCAGCAATTGTCTATCTTGAGCTGATGCAGACTTTTACTTCAAGCTTTTCAAGCCAGTCGCTTGTAATATAAGTATTAATATCCACGCCCCATTAAATATCAAAACATTCCAAAAATTGCTGTCACGACACATCACAAAACTAATATACTCATTTTACATTGACATGGAGTATATATCTTTGAAATTCCATCAGTTTTCTATCATCAATTTTAGTAGCTAAAAAAAAAGAGGAAAACAAAACCAAATTTTTGTATACACTTTAATTAAATTTGTTTTATTAAGATAGTAAAAACTTTACATGATCGAAAAATGGCTAACTATATATTAACCCTATTGATAATGATTGATCTGCTCATACTCTCAATGTTTGTGTTTGAAGAGATTCGTTTTCTTTTTGTTCCTTTTGGCTGGATTTTCATCGGCGACGAGTTTTCGGATATTTCTTCCTTGTGGTTCTTCGGGTGATAATTCGACTTTCTCTGGTAGTGCGGCCAATTGCGGGCTATCACAGCTCACATAGCCTACACACTTCCAGCAGCACTCTGGGAACGGTGTATCTGTTGCCACACCGTCGGTGCTGCACATTTCGAAGGGCACCGGCTTCTGGCAGCTTTTCATGTACGATGGCAATTGAAAAGAGAGCTTAAGAGCTTCTGCTTTGATATCGACTTACTAATGAATCAATGCATCGCCATGTGTGTTCTGGCACACATAGATGCCGCAGGTGTTTTTATCTTTCAATACTCCGCCCACTTTCAGTTCGATAATTTCGTCATCTGGCTTGGCATCTGGCTCCGGTTTGGGTTTGCATCCGTTGGCTAAAACACGTGTTTATTTCATTGAGAGCTTGCTTCATTTTGCTTCGATCCCGTATATTATCCTTACTTCCCTTGTCCATTTTCTGGTAGTGCACTAACGCTGTGGCGCACCACACGAAGCTCAACAGGCTCAGCGCGTTCAGGTTCAGGCAGTTCATGATCTCGTTTGGCACATGCAACAAATGTAACTGTATTTTCGTGGCCAGCTGTAAGGGCTTTTATATGCATTCTCGCCACACCAATGGGCGACAGGTGTTTTGGCACCTGGCGAGAAAACTGATACAATTGATTGATGTAAAGTATCTAAGGAAACTAATCTATTATTTGTGTTTATTCGCATTCAATATGCGTTCGCTTCTAAGCAATTCATTTGAGAGGTTTACAATTTGAGTCGAGCAAAGTTTTCTTAATCAGCCCTGAAAAACTACTCAAAGAATTCATAGCAAAGATGTTAAAGAATCTAGAGCTAACTTCTAATATATGTAAGACTTACTTCGAGACTAGAGATAAATCGTTAGAATTGAACTTTTCTGGAGATAGATCTTTAAATAGTATGACCCGCGAGTTGAGTTTTAAGTTTTATGCATGTGTATGTATACTTGGGAATTATAGATCTGACGCTACGGAGAATATTGCTCGATTTATCCTTAAAGAAGGTCTAAAGTGTTATATCTTCAATATTAATTTTAGTGCACTGGTACTCTAGGCTTAAAAGGGATTATAGAGAAGGTGTAAAGTACTATCTTGCCACATCCTGAGTGCTCTAGGTCTAAAGGAGATTATAGAAAAGATCTAAAGAAATTTGAGTGCATTTGGTCTAATACTATGAATAATATTACCTCCCACTTCTAAAACCAAATATATATCCGATGTTTCCAGTCATATTCTTAGTGCATGGCAAGAGATATCTGTATACATATATATTGTATTGTAATCCAGATAGAAAGATTAACTCCATATTGATGCCGCATATTAATGTTGACAATTAGAACGTGAAATCATATATAATTTCCTCCAATCAAATACATCAAATGCAGTATATACAAATATATATATATGTATAAAAATAAGAGAATTGGCTAATGTGTATCGAGTGGCTGGCGGCTGAAAGTCCGTTGATTTCGCCGCTTTCGGTAGCTGTTGGCCGCCTTCTGCTTGGCCTCGACGGCAGCGCAGGCCGCCCGATAGGCCGCCTGCTTGGTCTTCTCATAGTCATCGCGTGCGTTGTCCAGCTGCTTTTGGAGCGTGGCCAGGCGGTTTTTGGCCGCCTCGAGCAGCTGCACCTTGGTGGTCATTTCCTGCTGGGAGCCGAGCGCAACTGTTTGTATGTTGGCCAGGTTGTCTTTGACCGTCTTGTGGAGGGCGGTGAGGGCCTCGAATTGACTAGTGGCCGCACGAGCTGCCTCTATGGCGGCATTCATGTTGTTCTCCGTGTTCTGCAGCGAGGCGGACTCCTCCTCCACCACGGCGTGGGCCTCCTGCATCTCCAGCTCCAGCTGCTGCACAACCATTTGCTTGCCGGTAAGCGCCGCCTCGGCGGCCTTGGCCGATTGGAAGGCCTTCTCGGCCAGCTCCTGCTTGATGTGCTGGGCGGCCATTTGGCCGGCCGCATGTTGCGCCTCGTTGGCCGCCTTTGCATCCTGCGCCGCCTTCACGGCTATGCTCGAGCTCTTCTGCTTGGGATCGCCGGGCAAGAAGATTTTCTTGACATCGCAGCCCTTGGTGATGTCCTCGTTGCAATTGTTACCCACTCCCTTGCCACCAGAACTCCCAGATCCGCCTCCGGCTCCACCTCCCGGTCCGCCGCCTCCACTACTATCAGAGCCATCGACGGACGGATACAGCGAGGGACCTTCGGCCTCCATTGCGCCAGCGATAGCCGCAAAGTCCGAGTAGAGATTGGGCGGCCAGGCCATACGCTTGCGCTGCTGCCGCTGTGGATGCAGTGTGGACCAATTGGCTAGACTGGACGCCACTCGCAAGAGAGCACTTACCTTAACGACTCGATAGCCAAGGCTGTTCATCCTGGGGCACAGCACAGACATTGCGAGCAGTAGCCAAAGGCATGCGCTTTGTACTCGCATGGAGACAGATATTACAAGTCCAACTGGACGAGGTACTTTGCTCAGATGCCAGCCAGTTGCCTGGCGTGCGTTGATTTTGATCTCAATGAAATCGCTGTGTCCAACTGTTCCCGCAGCATCAATGAAACCGATCCCCAACCAGCAAACTTCATTCATAATTCCAGTCTAGGGATGTGCAGCTGTAGCTGGAATACATTTGTCTCTGAATTCGATTGACAACTTCGTCTGTGTTGTTGTTGTTTTTCTCCAGAGGTTTCTATTATAATTATTTATCAAAAAATGAACTGAGCAATCGATCGGAGCACTGAGGAAGGCGAGTGTAAGTGAATTTTGTTTATGAATTTGTACACAAAAAACGGCTCCATGTCGCCTGCTCGTAATCGCATTGGCTATAAAAGCCGCCTAGTCGATGGTATTGGCCACAGTTGGAGGCGGTGCAGCTAACGGTTTCTCGCCATGAAATACATCCGCTGCATTTGGCTAGTTTGGCTCGGTTTGATAATGTGTGGCAGCGCTTTGGTGCACATGGTGCCCGCGGAGAAGGGCGGTAAGGCTGGCAGGAAGCTGGAGAAGGGTTGCCAAACTCCGATGGGTCACCTCAATGCGGGCGAGGAGATAAACGATGACAAGACATGCGGTATATTCGTCTGCCAGGATGACGACGGCAATGGCCTCTATCAATTGTAAGTCTGGCATGGAGCTCTTATCGCTTTCCTTTACCTATACTCCCCCTCTCTCTCTCTCCCTCTTTTTTGCAGCTGTCAATCACCTGTGAACTTTGCCAATTGCGAGTTCGATCTGGTCAATACAAAAGGTCAATTTCCCGACTGCTGCTGGGAGTGTGTTACGGGCATCCCATGTCCCGAGTCCAAGCCATCGACACCAAAGACTTTTTACCTGTAAATGCAGAACTCATTTGGGTGTCGCGATTCGAAAATGTTGACTCGATATATTTCCAATCAGGATCTGTCGTATCTTTAGGCAGTTTCTAATCAAGTGTAGAATAGATCGTAATGTTGACTTTTTCGTACTATACGCCTATATGTGTCTGTGTGTGTGTATGTGTGTGCAGCACCTCAACATTCCATTTGCGTCTCATTTGCTGTCTGGTCTCCGTCTGTCTGTCGCTCTGTCTGAGTGCGCGCGTATCTTTGTATCTCATAGATACACACAGCGCATTCTAAAGTGTCTACAAGTGATGAGCACGGCATTTAGTTGCAATTTTCAGTTTCACTTGGCGACGACGCAACGTCGACGCCGCCGCCGCCGCTTGAGAAGAAGAAAAAAGAATGAAAACAAAGTAAAAGACTGGCATAGACGAAATAAAAATAAAAATAAATAAAATGCAAACGGGCAAAAACAAAAGCGTCCAAATAGACATGAATTGCTATAAAAATGTGAGCTATGCTAAATGCAAATGCTAGAGGCGAGCAAAAAAAAAAAAAAAAATATCTTAAAAAAACAAAAAATTCTATGGCTGCCCGACAAACTGACACAAAGTAGAAATGGGCAAATATATATAAATATATATATCGAGGCAGAACAGATAAATCCAATAAGTTTATAGTAAATAGCTCTAAGTTTCAATTTGTTATCCAAATACTAAAATATAGACAAAATATAACCTAATCTTAAGTTTGCATATATATTTGTAGAAAAGCGAAAAAAAATATTTATGTTAGCTAATATTTTTGTTGTGAAGTAAAACCTATTAGACTGTAAAATTATTGTAAAAATAATTAAAAATACATTAAAAAAAATAAAAATAAAAAATAAATATATAAAATAATTTAATTAATATATTTTTTATTTTTATTTTATTATTTTATTTTATTTTTTATTATTCCATAATAATTTAAGTACTTTAAAATATATTGTATATCCTATTTTTTTCTATGTATGTTTCTATAATATTTTCAATTTATTTTTTGTTTTCTAAAATGTCTCCTAGGACTAAAAGTAATTTTAAATATTTTTTAAAATAATTTTTAAAAACTTTAAAAATTCAACATGAACATAATTGTAAACTTTGTTGGCAATATTTAGTTATGTAAAAAATAGAGTTTGAGTTCAGTTTATAATATTTATATACAACTTAATTACGTTATCGTTATAATATAATTAAGTTGTAATACCTCAGTCATTTAGACCAATCGAAATCGGGCAGCTCGTTTCGAATCTAAGGCCAAAGTGGTCAAAGCTACTTTAAAATATTCAGCTTTATTAGTCGATTATTCCAATTTCAAATTCACATTAATAATTATAATGTGTAGCCGAAATTCATGCTGATATGTACATACATACATATATACATATGTATTTATGTACATACAAAGTCTCTAATAGACTTGCGTCTGTCTATTAGCTACATTTAATCTTTAGTTGGGTTTTGGTGCTTGGGTTAATAGTTCAGAACGCGATTCGATTATTCGGGCGATTTGAAAAGCTGAAGCGAGACATGCGCTGACAGCATGAACAAAGTCTGAACAGCAAAAGTCGAGGTCAAAGGTTAAGCGGCGCATTGATAAGGCACACGGGGCAATTACAAGCTCGCAGTCGTAACTTAGCCATTGCATGTCAAACTGTGTCAAATGGCATATTAAAATCAAAATCTTAAAAAAAAAAAACTGTTCTAGTTGTTGCTGTTGCTGCTGCGGCGTTGCATTAAATAATCAGCTTGATAACCCCGCGTGGTTGCCGCTGTGGTTGCGCACTGTGGTTTCGTATGGCAATGGGTACTGCTGGAACCACCGAAGCGAACTAAAAAACCCAATTGAAGCTGACGCTAAAAAAACTGAAAACTGATAATCTGTCAAACATGCATACACACTTATGTATGTATGTATATGTATGTGTGTGTGTGTATGTGACATATGGGGAGGCAGTCACAAATATTTATTTTTAATGCCCTATTAAAATAGAACTCACCAAATGCGATTGCGTCCATCGATGAATAAACAAATACAAAATTAAGTTTGCTTATCACCTATGCATGTATGTATGTATGTGTGCACACACACACAAACAAATTGATAAGGCAACAGTGACAGCTTATGCATGTGTCAGAGTTCAAAACTGAAGCACTTAAACGTCGAGCATTACGTATATCAAATGGAATACTTAGACAGTTCTAGACGAGCGCTTAACGCATTTTAAGTATCAGTCCCTGCTTATCAGCAGGTCAGAGTCAGCTCAGAGCCGAGAGCTGAGCTCGATGTGGAACAGCGTTGTCCAATGACAACCAACGGCTGCACACAGCACATTCCTAAGAATGTGATTATGCTCATAATCAAGGAATATTATTAAGAAAGAAAATAAATGAAAATAAAATTATTTGGAATATACTAAAGTAATTTTATAGCAGCTCAGCTGATATTGCCTCACATGTAAGAGTCATAAAAATGTACAATAAAAGTATTTCAAATTAAATTTGAGCTCAGCTGCAAAATGAAAATGTATTTCATAATCCTGAACAATTTAGAGCTCTATATAAATATATAGATTTTAGATTTAAGTGATTTAATTTAAAAATATAATTTATTTTAATTTTAATATTTGTATAAAATTTATTATTATTTTGTATAATTTTTTATAAAGTATTTATAATACTATTTATATATTTTTTTTATTACAATAAATTATTTAGACAAAATATAATTTATAATATTATTTTTAATAATTTTACTTATTGCATTACATTTTTTTACTAATATTAATTTTAATATATTATAATATATATAATATTATAATAAAATTAATTTACTACTTATTATATTTTATAATATTGTATTATATTTTAGATATTATTAAAATTTTAAATTTGAATAAATCTTTATTATAACACATATATTGAAACACTACTAACCTGTCGTCTGAATATGAAAAGATTTAGTGAAAAGGCTTTATAATATATATATATGTATATAAGTTCTACGCCCATATATTTTCTTTATAATCTTGTATTTATTCTCTATACTATATTCATAAATATTATTTGAAAATTATGTTTTTTCTGTCGCATGTTTATTGCTTAGAGAACAGACATAAAAAAAATAAGAAATATAGTATATATGTGAGTTTTTGAATAAAAAATATAAATATTAATAAAAATATGTAATTTAGTTTTATCATTATACATTTAAAAGGGAAATTAAGTTGCTAAAAATGTCAATTAAATGTCAGCAAAAATTTGATTTATCTAAAAATCACTTGATATACTTCTGCAATTTTACAAAATTCTGTTTCTGGATTTATATAGCATGCAGCAAGACTGGAGCTGCAACAGGTTGCTCTCAGCCCGTTGGCAACCGGAAATCCAGTTATGTAGCTACAGCTTCAGTGATTCCAGAGCAGCAACAACAACAACAACAGCAACAAAAAATTGGAGCCAAGTATTTGACGCCGCTGGGGCTATCAATGCAATTGAACTCTTGGTAACGGCAATCAACCAGGTGGAGAGAGAGAGAGAAAGAATATGCTTCTATATATATAAGTTTATTGATAGGTAAAAACATACTTATACACATATACTTATAGACGAACAAGTAAGACAACTTGCTGAACGTTTTGATACTGTTGGCGAGATCTGTTGAACTCATTTTAATTACAAGTAATCTTTATAAATAGAAAACATGACGAAGACACCCAAGCACGTCAAAGCAGCGACCGTGGAGGCACCGATTTATGCATGAATGCGATGGACAACGACCAAGGCATAGGCATAAATCAATGATGAGCAAGCCTCCATGCCGGGGTACAGCATCCTCAAGGGGTGGCGGGGCGTGTGTGGAGTGCTCACTCCTTCCAACTCGATGCAAACCAAACGTAGAAGCCAAATGCGAAATATGAACTGGCAATGGCCATAAATGAGTAATTGCTGACATTGCCGTTGCGATTGCCATTGCCCCGACTCTGCCTCCCTCTCTCTCTCTCCCATTCTGGTCTGGAGTCCGGTTCCATTTTTAGCGGAGACAACAACCCATAAATGTGCGTCCAGCGACAAAGCGCTAAACGCAAGCTGACCAGGCTAAGAAGCGCAGCTATACTTAGTGACCATGCAGGGGTTTGGCTTGGCTCGACTTGGCTCCACTTGGCATTCAATTACAGGTACAGGTACAGCCCCCATGCCGATTGGAGTTCTGCTGAAAAATGCTCGGTGTCTCGGATACTTGGAGCATTGGCTTGGGCTTGGCTTTTTGGTCTTGAGCGCGAACGCGCGGCTTCCAGGTAATGTCTCTCTAACGGTATGCCATGATACTTGTTTGTATCTCTATATCTCCATCTTCTGCCTCAACTTGAACTGCAGCTCCAACACCCAACTCCCAGCTCCAACTCCAACTTTGTCTGCTTTTCTTCTTCTTCTTATTCTTTATTTTTTTTTCCTATTTGAATCTGGCGTTGCGATGCGCGCGCCTCATGTTGACAAACTCACTTAACAAATCCACAACTACTTATATAACCCGAAGTACAACAAACAGTAATTTTTCTCGCTTCATTGGCATCGTCTGCCGTCAGCCGTCTGTCGTCCGTCGTCCGTCGTCCGTCGTCTGTCGTTTGCCGGGAAGAAGCCTGTAAAGCGAGCATAAGCATATCGGCGGTTTGTTTAGCCAACTTGTCTCAACCCGGACAGCAGCAAGAGTGTCTCTCTTTCTCTGTGTGAGGGGGGGGGGGGGGGCAGACAGAGGCAACTTAAGACTGGCTGCTGCCAGTTAAGTAAATAGAAATTGAATTGTACAAAGGCCACAGACACTGCCACAACAGAGCAGCAGCAGCTACTCGGCATTGTGGCTGACCGTTGTTTGCCTTGCTCTACAGTTCTTTATAGCCTGGACATGGGCCTGGGTCTGGGTCTGGGTCTGGGACTGGGCGCGGCTGTTGCTATATAGACGACACTTAATGATGCAAGTATACCAAAATGTGCAACAACAAAAATGTCAT